GATATGTACTTTTCCAAATAATAATCCTTATTATTACTTATCCGCAATTCAGATAACACGAAAACTTATCAACCTGCAAATTTTTCAGACAATAATTTCGATTTACCCGATCGAACATTTCACTCTCTCAATACCACTTGGAACCTGGCAAGTCGAGATAGTCCTACTGATGTTAAGGAGCTTATACCAGAATTTTTCTGTTTGCCAGAAATGTTTGAAAATTTCGAAAGATTTAATTTTGGTTGTCGTCAAAATGGCGAACGTGTGGAAGATGTACAGCTGCCGCCCTGGTGTCTTCGTGATGCTCGCCTATTCGTACTCATACATCGGCAAGCATTAGAAGCAGAGCTGGCTCGTAACCAACTACATCAGTGGATCGATTTAATATTTGGTTATAAACAGTCGGGTGAAAATGCAATTGAAGCCATTAATGTTTTTCATCCAGCGGTAATTATTTGGCTGCGCTTTAGCTCTTCATTTAAAATTAATTCAAATTTCTTAGACATATCCATCATTCTTGGCATCCATTACCTCGGACCCAATAGAACGGAAAGCTGTAGAAACCATGATAAAAACGTATGGACAAATGCCTAGGCAGCTTTTCAAAAATCCTCATCCGCAGACAAAATCATTGAACTATTGTCTTGGCGCTAAGGATGTGCTTCCCACCGTACGAGGTCTGCGTTGGGGTGTCTATCTGGGATCGCCACAGCTGCATGCGCCAACGCTTGGTAATATTTACAAGATTGCTGGCGCCGAATATTTGGTTTCATTCAACAACACGAATGTTGTCTATGGTCTACCAACAAAATCTTGTATCATGCAAGGTGCTGAAGTAGATACATTCAATGTCATATCGTGGGATTATGAGGATCACATTGTTCGTATCCAGCCACTAAATAAGTTAAATGCCAAACCGAAAAACATTCTGCGCAGCAACATTATCGACGATATTACTGCATGTGGTGCCGATCCCAATTCAAATCAACTTTGGTTCGGGCACAAGTCTGGCCGTATAAGTATATATAAATGCAGCACCACAGACATGAACAACCGTATAGTGAAAAGTCGTCAGAATTACATTCGCGGTCTTCGGCGTTCCTACAATTCGGCATTTCGCAAACTGACCACTAAAAGTTATGCAGAGGAAGGAGATACCAGCCATACGACACCACTATTGTGTTCCACAATGGGAACAACGTCAGATGGACTACAACGGGATAGTGCCGATCTGACATGGAATGGACCCACAATTCTGCTGCGACACACCGATGAGGTGACGAGTATACGTTTATCGGTTGAATTTAAAATAGCGGTTTCTGCAGGGCGTGACGGAATCGCCGTTATTTGGGATCTGAATAAGTAAGTTCAACACACAA